TCTCGCCTTCTAAGCCCCCAGTCCAGGGCATCGCTCTGGTGCTTTATTCTTGCCCATGTACCTTTTGTACACTCACAATTCCTTCCTCCTCCAGACTTTCTCAGTATAATTTCCTGTGAATTTGTTCTTCCCCCGCCCTCCTGAAGCATTCATGGTGCTCCCACTGACCTTCATTCCACCTTCTATTATCACAGGACCGATTTTTATCTTAGTCGTGTGTTGGTCTCCCTCCCTCCCAGCTAATTCCAGGGGCTACACTTTCTTGTCTGCTTTACTCAGCACCAGCTCAGTGAGCATGTGATGGGCACTCAGCATATAATTGAACAAGTCAATAGTAAATGGAATTAATGTCATTTGTAGGAAAAGGGAAAGCGACACAATGTTCTTCGGACTTTTAGGGGCAGTAGATGGTGCCTGCGATCCCGGCCATTAGCCCTCAGGATGGACACCTTCTACAGCTTACTTCAAACCCCACTAGTAAGTTTTGTGTGTTAGATGGCAGTCACTTAAATATGCCTCCCTGAGAATATGCCTCATAGACTAAAGAGAAGTGATGGTTCTAGAAAGAGCAGAACTCCCCAGTTCCACCTCGCAATAAATTAGCTTTCTGTTTAGCTCTGGGTTCACAGTCTGCTGCTTGAACACTGGGGAGAGGTGTCTTACTCCTGGGTAGCCGGTATCTTGTCTCTGATAAGACTGAATCATTGAGCATTTGTTTAGAAAAGGGAAAGACTTGTTGTGGAGAGGCAAGGATGAGAGGATTGTGCTGGAAGTAAAACCACTTATAAGAAAGGCTTTAGACCAGAGAACTGCTTGTGAAGCCAGGCTCTGGGTACGTACGGGTGGGAGTCTGCTCTCCCTGAATCCATGTTGTGGTCATTGACCCTGTCATAACCAGTAGGTGCCAGGAGCTTGGCTATAAACACTCAAGCTACTCATCACCAGAAATTACCTACCAGTAGGCAAAAGTCACCCATGATCCGCGATGGGTAGTAACACCTGCCTCAGACAGAATGTCATCCCCTCCCTTAGCACCAGCGTTCCGGGTTTATTCCTGAGAATCCAAGTACCTCACCCTTGCCCTGCACTGCTCCTTGAAGTTCAGTCTTAAATGCTGCACTGAAGGGCAGAGAAGGGCTCTAGTCCATCAGGCATGGTGTGTCGGGCATGGTGTGTTCTGTTACATCCTCATTTAGAATAGGAGTTACAGGGCGGTGGGACGGGGTGCTGACAATGAAGCCACAACATTTCCCAGTTCAGAAATACTGTCATTTTCACTCTGACACCACGTCCAGTGTCGTGGTGGCAGAGTTGATGGCGGTCATAGGGGCCAGGTCTGCTGGCACCTTTCTTCCCCTAGATTGCCACCAATATGAAGACAAAAAAATTAACATGGAGCCCAGATGACTTCTCAATAACAGTCTCCACATTAAAATACAAAAGGCATTCTTTTGGTATAAGTTTGAAAATAAAAGTGCCTTGTTGTATTTGTTTTGTGACATCCGATAACCTCCACTTGGCATTCTGTGTGCCATATTTGTGCCAGAGGTGACAAATCCCCAAACTCTGCCATCCACAGAGCAGTAAGAACAATGACAACAGTCCTTACCATTTCCACTTTTGGGCTAATTGAATATACATGGGAAGTAAGTAAATATAAACAGTCTGTTGGCAGAGTTCAGAAGCAATGACAAGTACTGGTGGCTACTTGTGATGGTCCCAAACCGCGCCTGTAACAGTTAGAGCTGGGCCTTAGGAAGTGACAGGAGGGGATGGGCAGTAAGAACTAAAGCAGAGCGAGAGGCAGGAAAGCACAGGGTGTGTTTAGTTGACATGGAATCTGCCCCACTGGATGGACTCATGTATTCATATAGAGGAGTAGTGAGGGAGATACGTAGAAAGATGGAATCAAATGGGATAATTTCCTCTAACGAGAAGAAATCACTAGAAAGACTGCAGCAGGCCTCAGTGGGAGACAGGAGAAGCTGGACTTTATCCAGTAGTCAAGGGGGCCACTGGAGATGGGAAGTAACAAGATGAAAGCCACATGCTGAGACTTTTAGAAGGAATGTGCTGAAAATGTAGCACTTAAACGTGAAATTGAATATGAGGAAAAACTGGAAATAGGGTGATTGGCCATCTGGTCTTATAAATTGCCTTTTATTGTCAGATAAAATTCATTTCAAGCCACAGCTACATTTCTCTTGGATATAAACGTCCCATGATGAACCAAATCAAGAAGCAAAGAGAAGTAAAATAATTACTGTTAAAAGGAGGTAAGAGATAGAAAGTAAGATGGCACAGTAAACCCTCACAGTGTGTGGGTGTATCACTTCTGAACCCCAAAATGTATACATTCCCCCAAAGCATATATAGTGTTCCCATAAAATGCTGCAGTATGACTTCATTTGAGCATCCACATCTGCAGCAACAAGTTAAAAGTAACACGTGGAGACGCGTCTACAGGGTCATCAGCCGTGCTCACCCCGAGAGGGCCGCCCTCCCGCAGCTGCCCGGTGTAGCACTCACTAGTTTTGTTCCTCCACAGTGTTACAGCTGAATTCTTGTTGCCGGCGGGGTCCCATTGAAGTCGGGTTTTGTTTTGTTTTGAACTACCTTTTCTCCAAAATGGGTTTCAAATAAGCCCAGTTCTTTCCCATTGAAGTCACACAGTTACACCCAAACTGCCCCCTCAGCACAAGGGAAGAAATCTTTCTTTGGTCTCATATTAGTATCTTCTCGCTGACACCATCACACACACACACACACACACACACACACACCTTTGTTCTTTAACTCCTTTCAGGAGTCATGTGGCCATTTCAGAAGCTTTCCATATTTCCAATGCTGTTTGGAGTGTAGCTGGAAACGTTCCGGTCAGCCAAGCTCACCTCACCGGGCCCTGTGACCTACAAATGCTTCTTTTTACTGCTGCCTCCCCCGTCCCCTCCTGTCACCGGGAAACCTATGGGGAAGCTCTTTAGGACTGTCCAGTTATGGAAGGAGGGGGCAGAACCAGATGTCAGGAACCTTAAGAGTCTGGGGTTATAAGAAGAGAAGAGAGCACTTCCCAGAGGTCAAAGTCAACTACAAGTAGCTGCTTTTCTGTGTTCTGAGACCTAGGTCAGCTGATGATACTCAATTAAAATGCACAGTGTAGTCGACCTCTCAGCGTATCATAATTGACATCTAGGTAAGTGGTCCCTAATGAAATGTATTTAATGACTAATTCCAAAATTTAGAAATTTCTAAATCAAATTCAGCCTTAACCCTGTTTTCCTGATGCTTCTCTCTAATCCCATGTTGAGAAGCGATTGTTTATTTTTAAAATGGAAAAGTTAACTGATGGACTCCTTATCTTCCTTCGTTTTCCATGATTCCTGTTATTCTAAGCACAGAACCAAGCACATTTATAAAAGCCCCACCCATCCATCCCAGATTCTAAAGACATTCCCTAAGAAAGAAGAACACAGTTGGCTACCACACAATTCGCTGACAAGACAGAAGGAAGATGACACAATATCTTACTTATTTTGTAACCAGTGTCTGCTCCCAAAAGCCAGGGAGTGGAGTGATCCAGCCAGAACTTTTCAGTGTCCTAGCTGGTTCCCAGCTTCTTAAGAAGACCCCAAAGTGAGGCGAGAGTCCCCCTGGGCCAGCTTACAAGCAAGCCTCCCTCTTCCTTATCCAAACCTCATTTCCTTCACCCCCACCTTTTGAAAAGCTCAGAAAGAGAACGCCCGCAGCTGTTTGTTAGAGAAGAGAATCTGCTGCTCTCAATATTCTGTTTTAGCCTAAAGGGCTGCTGCAGAAGAAAAACTTTATCCAGTGGGTCCCAGCAACCAGGGTGGTGGGTCCTCTGGGTGGAAGCAGTGATTCCCAGACCCAGGGAGAAATGCAATGGCTGAGACTTTAAATGGCTTCTGTTTCGCTTAGAATTGAGGTTTGCCCGGTCACCCCGGGGTCACATGACTTTTTTAACATCTGGTTTTCTCCAGCAAGTGAATCAGGCTTCGGAAGCCAGTTATAGGGCCGGGGTGCAGCGTAGGTGGTAGACGATGCAGTGTAACGTGAGCCCATTGGGTGGGAACACGGCCTAAAAGCAAGCAAGGGTGTTTTGTTTGTTTGTTTTTTTACAAAGTCAGAATTGGCTCTGTTTTTACCTAGGTAGTTAAGGGTAGACTAGCTGAACCAGGTATAAACTGCCCCCTGCTGTCTGACACAGAGAAGTACAGAAAAATATCTGCCTCGTTAAAAAGAACCTTATTTTGAAGGCCGGCAACAAGCTGGAGCGAAGGCCAGAGAGGGATGGCACAGGTCACCTGCCTCCCCCTCCGGTGTGAAGATGAAGGGAGGGTGAGGGAGGCGGTATTTTTCGGATTTGGAGAGCTGCCTCGTTACGCCATCTGCCCCCTTGTTTCTCGAGAGTGTGGTCCGTGGTCCAGCAGCGTCCGCATCACCTGGGAGCTTGAGATGCAGAGTCTCAGGCCCCACTCTTGGTCTACTGAGTCAGAATGTGCATGAAACAAGATCCCCAGGGGATTCACATGCACAGTTACCTGTGAGAAACCCCGACTGTAACCTCAGAAGGAGCCTTTACACTAGACAGGGTCCACTGTTCCCTAAGGTTTGTAGCAAATTGAATTCAGTTTGAACAGTGAAGAAATACAACTCGCTAGGAGAATGGAATCCTTCATTCATATCGTGATCACTTAACGCCCTTATTTTCGTCCTACTCCTGTTTCCTGCGTCCTCATGTATCACCGGCTCTCTACCGTGCTGTCCTTCCCATTACTTGCTACATTTCTGCAGCATCTGCCAAACCGTTTCTTTCAAAATCGCGGCATCTCTGGCAGCCTCCTGTTTCCCACAGTCCTTGTTTGCTCAGGTCTTCTCTCCCCTTCCACCCCTGCTGGTGTCACGTAAGGAGAGCAGCCACTGGGCCCTCCGGGAGGGATAGTCCGAGTGTCGCTAACCCCGCGTGTTCTCTTCTGCGCCAGGTCAGGGAAGAATGCCGGCTCCTGAACGCCCCGCCTGTCCCGCCCCGCAGCGCAAAGCCTCAGTCCACCAGCCCCTCGGTCCCTCCTCGCACAGCCAAGCCGGCGCGGCAGCAGACTCGCTCTCCCAGCCCCACCTTATCCTACTATTCTTCAGGGCTGCACGACATGTAAGTCCTATGCCAGGGCCCACTTCCACATGGTTCCCTCATCAACCAGGTCCCCGATCCTTGAGAACCGTGTCAAAGAGCCATCCCTGGGCAGGGTGGTAGGAGAGGAAGTTTTCTTTTAAAAAAAGAAAAAAAAAAAATTGTTTTTTTTTTTTTTAATTGGATGAGCGTGATGGGGCCCTGTTGGTTCTGAGCCAGGATGGAAGAGCCAGTGACCTAGGAAGATGCTGAGTCTGTGAGGGGTTCAGTGGTTAAAGCTGGCATCTACTTGTCTCCGCTTTGACTTCAACACACGCAGACAGCACCCTCGAGGAGGACCCGGAATGGCAGGGGTCCTGTCGGCTGTCTACTCTGAATTCCACCCAGTGCTGGAGTCCCTGACCATCACTGTAAGGCAGTCTTACACTTCCATCTGGATCCTCCCAGTGCCGTGAGCTCATTCTTTTGCACTGCAGCTCATTCCATGGTTGGCACATGCCAATAACTTTTTTTAGAGATCTTTCATTATATGCAGTTGAAATCTGTCTCCATGTAACCTTCAACTGTTTCTTAGGTCTAAAAGAACAAATGTAGGTCCACCCCGCCTCTCTTGATCAGGCTGTGAAACCGTGAGGTCAGCCACGATGTAAGTCTCCTCCAAGAGGCAGCCTCAGTCCCACCTGCTGTCCCCCCATCACCCACCTCTGAGCACACTCTGGTTTCACGGTCACTCTTAAGATAGGGCCCCAGAGCTGAGTGTGATCACATGTGACAGGTTAAAGTAGCTCTCCTTGGCAGGTATTTTTTTTGTTCCCTGGACATTTAAATCTTTATGGTGACGTTACGCAATTGTGCAGAAACCAAGGCAAGAATAAGCATTTTTTTCGAAACATTTCTTCCAGCCTCAGACTCTTGGATGGATATAAGGTCATCAGTGGTGGTGATGTAGTCCTGTCACTGTAGCCCAAGAATGACAAGCATGAGACACTCATTTACTGCTCTCTCACTCCACCCTTGCCCACTGCAGACATCACTAATCAACCACAGCACCTGTTGGTGATAAGCCCAAACAAGGCTAAAGATTTTTCTCATCACAAAGATCCAGGCACCCACTAACAATGATTTTCTTGTTAAAAAAAATTATATATTTGCCATCTCTGCTATAGCATATTAAATCAGTATCTTCATATCCATAGTTACTGATGTATTTTAGTAATTTAAAGATTCTTTAAAACAAGAAAAAAACCAAGTGAGGTTAATTAAGCAGGTACTTTACGATAAGAAATATAATATTTGTTGCCTAACTACATTTTTCTACTCAGAAGTGACATCGATGGGATAAGGATAGGCTGGATATTTTACTTTTCTTTTTTTTCCACTCATCTCTCTCTCTCTGTGTTTGGCTTTTAAGCAGCGTTACTAAAAGTGACACGAGTCCTCCTGAAAGCACTCCCGTTTCCTGCTACCCGTGTAACCGAGTGAAAGCGGATTCCATGGACCCGAAGTCCCCGTTTGGCAGTCCCACTGCTGAAGCTCTGTCCTCCAGGCTCTCGTGGCCTAATCATTATTCGGGAGCGTCAGAGACCCAGACCAGGAGCGACTTCCTGCTGGATCCGAGCAGGAGTTACAGTTACCCCCGTCAGAAGACGCCGGGCACGCCCAAGAGAAACTGCCCGGCAGCCTTCGACCTCGACGGCCACGAGCTGGCGGCCAGCCCACCCGGGCCCGGGCCCACGGAGCCCGGCGGTAGTGCCCCGGGGTGTCCCAAGTCGGCCAGCTACTCTCTGGAGAGCACGGGCGGGAAGACCCTGACTGCGGGCCCCGCCAAGCAGAGCATCTCATGCCCCGCCTTGCCTCCCAGGGCCCCGAGGCCAGTGGAAGAGAAAGCCGCCCTCGACACCCTACCTTTGCCTCTGCAAATTGATGGTGCTGAGGAAGACCCCGAGTCTGGGTCGCCGGACCTCTCCGAGGACCCGTACTTTGTTCAGAAGGGCACGCAGGACATCTTCTCCATGTCTTACCCCTTCTCGTCACCCCTCCACCTCCAGCTGGCCCCCCGCTCCTGTGGTGACGGGTCCCCGTGGCAGCCACCTGCCGACCTGTCGGGACTCTCCATAGAGGAAGTGTCCAAGTCCTTGCGGTTCATAGGGTTGTCCGAAGACGTCATAGCCTTCTTTGTGACCGAAAAGATTGACGGAAACTTGCTTGTTCAGCTCACGGAAGAAATCCTCTCCGAGGATTTCAAACTGAGCAAACTACAGGTGAAGAAAATCCTGCAATTCATTAACGGCTGGAGGCCCAAAATATAGCCAAACAACCCCAGGTAGCATTGAACAAAACAGATACATGTGTGTTCTAGAAGGGGAGGGCTGGGACACAGTTTCACATTTTTTTTGCACTAAAAACTTTCTCTGTAAATAGGGATAAGAGAAAACTCTTACTATGCAGATTATGATTTTGAATGGTGAACAGGCTATTTTGTACATCAATAAAAATGCTGTACAGAACACTTAGAGGTGTGCCTTGTACATCACTCAACACTCAACAGCTGCTAAAAGACAAAAGGCATGCTCAGAGAAATAACTGTTACCCCAGTAGGTTTATGCGAGAAGTTGTGATATTTATTTACAAAATAGCCAAAGCTGAAAGACATAAGAATCTTTAAAAAACAAAAAACAAAAAACAAAAACAAAAGAAAACACCTTTGAACAATTCCCTCCTTTGGGAGAATCAACTTTAGACAATTTATTCCGTGCTCTGTCGTTCGGATTGCTCAATGCTAATTGTTTTACTCTTGTGCCTGAAAATGTTAGTGATATGAAATGACACTGCAGTGTTATGTGATTGGTGGGGATCTTTTTATCAAAAGGTATTTTACAAAAGTCATGTGCTAGTAGAGAGGATCTATGATGTCCTTAGAAATAATAAATCATGACCACAATAACTTATCTGTAACTGCTGCTAATTTTACTGAGCAGAGATTAAAAATGACCAGAATATATACGTATATTTATATTTACACAATACAAATGTATGTTTTAAACATCAGTATGAGTCTGATCTTTTAGATAACATCTGTTCACTTTCAAATGTCCATTGAAGTTTGGGGCCGTTAATTAATTCGACTCTCTTAGGAAACGGGACAGAATGATTCCAAAGATTCTCAGAACCCTGTCCCTCGAAGCTCAGTCTTATCAGGCTCCATCACAGAAAACTTGGAACAAATCAGTAGAGAGTCTGTGTTGAAGAATTAAGTTTGATTTTAAACCTATTACAGGCTTTTACATAGAATACTCCTGTGCTGATCAGTGTCTGGGGAAATGACCATTTCTGTCGAGTGATAATTCTTCTCGGGTTTGAGGGCCTTATTCCCCTGGTATGTGGTGATGAGGGGTCTGGAGAGCACTTCTCAGAGCGTGTCAGGTGTTCTCAACATGCTTTGTGCTTTAGGAGAGCTCAGAAATCAGACATACCATCCTCTGCTTTGATATGTGCTACATCTGTTGCATCATTTTTTAAAGTATCAATGAGTACTCGTTTAGTTCAGAAATCTTCTTTCCTCTCTTCCAAAGAAAATACATGATTACCATACTTTCATTCCAACAATCCCAGGACCCAGTCTGACAGTTTTTGCCAAACGTGAATAAATACTCCAAAATATAATGGCATCAACATAATTCCTGACTTTTTTTTTTTTTTTCTTCCTGCGGTACGCGGGCCTCTCACTGTTGTGGCCTCTCCCGTTGCAGAGCACAGGCTCCGGACGCGCAGGCTCAGTGGCCATGGCTCACAGGCCCAGCCGCTCCGCGGCATGTGGGATCTTCCCGGACCGGGGCACGAACCCGTGTCCCCTGCATCGGCAGGCAGACTCTCAACCACTGCGCCACCAGGGAAGCCCAATTATTGACTTTTTGAAGGAATATAAATCTTAGAAAAGTTTTTGTTCTCCGAGCAGCATATCGTCCCTAGCCCTGTCTCCCCCAGAGTCTGTCCCCACATTCGAGATGGACAGCCACCCAGGTGTCAGTGTGACTTGCAGGACTGGCTTGTATGTTATCATCCACTCTTCTTGCTCATCAGAATAAATACACAAATGGAAAGACAAGACCCACCAGTCTAGTTTTGCAGACCTGTTCAATATATGGCTTCATTTCTTGGCATTCAAGATATTTTTAATCCATCTCATTGTTTAGAATTGGGGTGAATTGATACCTTTTCTCATTTTCCATCTTAAATCTCTTTAAAAAAAAAAAAACAAACAACCATTTTCCCCCCAACATGTCTCCCAAAATGCAAATACTCTAGGTTAAAAGTGCCCCATAAAAGAGTACCCTGTAGACTCTATCAAACTGTAGCACCTCTTCAAAAAAGTAACTGACAAGTTTATATAGAAGCTTCTAGTACTGCACTCAGATGACATGCAGCCCGTCCATGACTTTCATGTTGAGAAAGCATCCTTCTGTGTGAGGGGCAACTCCCTAGGTAAAGTTAACCTCTCAGAACTTTCCTTTAAAATAAAAACAAAGGATGATGTTGAAAAGTTGCAAGTTTTCTTTGGCAAAACCTTGCTGAATCCGTTCGTGAATCCTTAGCGCTTGGGTGCTGTGCTCAGTTCAAGAGAGAGGAGTGAGTGGGTTTGAGTTTACTATGACAGTTGCCCCACATAAACAACTGATTCCTTTTATCTTTTTTTCTTTTTGTTTTTTTCTTCTTCTTTTGCAAAACCTCGACACAAAGTCCTTTTTGTTTTTTGTCTTGGCATGTGTACGTTGAGTTTATATCGATGGCAACATAGAGACTCCTTGAGGGCAGGGACTATGGCCTTTCATTCACATACTCAAAATTCACAGCATCATCTGTGTGCCGGGCACTGTGCTAGTATGACTTGACAGGCTGATAAAAAGACACAGTTCCTGCCCTCTTGGAACTCATAAGGTTTATGTTTAAAACCACAGTTGTTGAGACTGGGTATGTGTAAGAGAGACATGAACTCTCCTGGCAGTTGGATGTATGGAGAGTTAAGTGTGCCCTGTCCCTCAAGAACCCACAGAAGGAAGAAATGGCAGCCTCTATTAACGGGGTATAAAAGAAAAACTACAAGACCATTGAAACTTGGAAAGCATTGGAGGCAGCAAGTATCTCTGACTCCCAATGACTAGTGTTCTTTTCTACTGATTGGAATTTTTTTTTTTTAATTGGTAGTATCTTCTGGTATCTGCAAAGCCACATGGCGCCCTTACTAGACAAGGCATGCATAGCCAGAGAGAATCAAGACAATGAATGCAGAACAGGGGTAGGAAGGAAACAGCCCTTCCCTTCTGAGCTGCGATTTGTGCAGTGAAAAGCAGTGTATAGAGATCCCCACATGCAGAACCTTTTCTAACCAACCAGGTCAAGACTGAGGACATCTTCTGGCAGGTTCCCTGCAATCTGTGCACTGACCCCTGTGCTTGGGGGAGAGTGTCCAAACGGGACTCTTCTGTGGATTCCTTAAATGCATGGCCAAAACCATCGTGACCCCCTTAAGAAATTCAGCAATAAACCAAACCAAGCAGCTAAAATGTAAAACGTGGGCCTGATTCATGTTGGGACGGAGCACTGAAACACAGATCAATTCTTTCTCAGAATCTCGTCAACGCCTGCACGTTCTCTCTCTTTTAAGTTGAGCTGCTCAACTTTATGAACTGTGAAATTTACATTTAGACCCTTTCAACCCACGTAGAACATTCACATTTATGGAGTCGCAGCGAGCTGCCCACTCGACTAAATTGCAGTGTTTATTCTTGTTTCACGTAGAAATAAAACAATCTTACAGGGAAATATTATGACTGTCCATTCCAACCGTTTTCAGACGTGGGTAAATACCCTCTGCCGACATTCCAGAAGCACCTGCACATCGTGCACACGACTCCTCGAGAAGCTCAGGGGGTGGGGGTGGATGAATAGACGGCTCTTCATTTTCCAAACACACTGTATCACAGATCACTACTCATCATGCCTAAAGAGTATGAGGTTAACATTTGGAATAACAAACTGAAAAAAAAACACAGTTCTCCAAAGACCACTGTGGACCATTCAAAGAAAATTTCAACTTCAGTCCATCCAAAAAGTGAAATCTGCTGTTGGACACACAAGACTTTCAGAAACTATGACCATTAATCCCAATTCCCACTATTTTTCTAGGAATACAATGGCACCAGGCTGCTAGGGCAAGAAAAGTAAGATGCCCAGAGTGCAAATGATGGAAAGTAGGATTTTTATACTGCGGGACTGTAATAGTGTGGAATTCTTATGACCACGTCTTGTCCAATCACATCGTTTAGTCTTCAGAACTTGGTGTTTTAAAATCTGTCTCATTGTGAAAGCTAGAAACAAAGGGTAAACGTGGTTTCTGTTAAAAGTATATACAAATGTCTTCTGTAATTTTGCTGCTCTAATTTTTAGGCTATGAGTTTTGTAATGAGCTTATCGGATGATGAATTCCCTTTGTTTACAATCTCGTGTAGTCGGGCTCAGATCACGTCTTAGCTATAAACCTCTTCTCCCATTTTCATATTAAGCTCCATTTAAAATATTGCTTAAGCTAAGCCTAAAAGTTGAATTCAATTAGTCAAAAATTTGGGAGTTTTCCTTGACTCAAATGAAAGTGGTATATTCTTTTCAAAGGCTTTTGTAACCATCTTTACAGTTTCTTTGCTTGGAAAAGTGGGGTTGTTAACTACCAGTTAACAGTTGCATTATTTCCAGAGCACTGTCTATGGGCCCAATGTGTACCTCAAGATAAACATGGTATGTTTTGTCTAAAAAAATTCGTTGTTGATTTAAATGGTTCTGAAATGTCTATAAATAAAGAAATTTTAAAAGTTGCTCTTCTTGCAATCGTTCCTCAGTGAGTTGGACCCCTGTGTGGTTTTCTAGAACCTCTCTTTCCCAGAGACAAGAAGAGAACTTGTCTGAAGGGTTTCTGAAGACTGCAAGCTCACTCCATGTTAACAAGAGATTGAAGACTGTGGTTATCGAAAATGGAAGAAGCTGGGAACCAGGTAACCTGGTGGCAACCAAAGAGAATCTAGTACCTGTGTGGTCAGGAGTTAGGACAAAAGACAAATATAGATGGACTAGTGAGCTTTAAAAAAATAGTAATGGGGGAGGGGATAAATGAGGAGGTTGGGATTAACATATACACACTATTGTATATAAAATAAACAACAAGGACCTACAGTACAGCACAGGGAACTATGTTCAATATCTTGTAATAACCTATAACGGAAAAGAATCTGAAAAATATAGATAGGTAGACAGATAACTGAGTCACTTTGCTGTACACCTGAAACTAACGCAACATTGTAAATCAACTACGCTTCAATAAAAAAATTAAAATAAAAAAATTTTAATAAAAATACATGTTTGTACAGAAAAAAATACAATAGAAATTCATATCTCTTTGGCTTATATATAGTTTAATTTCTATAATTACAATTAGCATCACAGTGAGTAGACGTGGTAGAGGGTTGTAGAGAAAGTCATGAGTGTGCAGCACGCTGCAGCATCCGCCAGTAAGTTTTACAGAGAAGTTAGCAAGTGGAGGCTGGTTAAGCTTTTATGTCAAAATAGCATGAGGTAGCTCCCAACT